CACTCTACTTACTGGCACCACATTTCCAGCCATAAAGGAGAAAGAGTGGCATGTAGACATACACTCTACGGGCAGGTACCTCTTCCCAAGGCTGTTATTACTGATTATACATAGAACCAGTATCCTTAATAACCTTCAAGTATGAATACTGATTTTAAATCCAGTAACATCTAAGAAAGATTTGGGAACTGTTACATAATATACACACATTTTCCTTTCTTTTATATTTGTAATAGGTGGAGTTCTGGATTTTAATTTTAGTCCATCAAATAATAATAACTAACCAATAAAAATGGAACATAGAAAATAAAAAAGGAAGTTTTCCTCAGAAACTACATAGATGCTGATGCCATACTTAGGGATTGGACTTCTGATCCTCAGGAACTGTAAGCATAATAAACCTCTGTTCTTTTTTTTTTCTTAAAGTTCTAGTCTTTTTTAAAATTTTATTGAGAAACAAATAGCAATGAGACAGCTTCAAAGCCAATTAATAGGACAGTTTCAATAATTAATGCACTGTATATTGTTGTCTTCATAGTGGTTATTCATAGTACAAGATGCAGACATGATATCCTGTACAAACACTATTAGTACAAGTCTTTCTTCTCATTGAATTAAGAGAATGTAGCTGTATATCTATCCTAACTATTTTGTATATACAGATACAAAATGGCCTCTGTTCTTTATAAATTACCCTATCTCAGGTATTTTGTTAGAGCAAAACAAAATTGAATAACATAGGATCTATGTTCCAAATGAATAAGACAAGAAAGAATGCTAAAATTATATGTGATGAATGCCCTTCAGTGAACATTGAGGAGCTAGTGCTTGTAGAGACATCCCCTCCAACTTGAGGAGACAGTATCTGGGGCATGGTAGTTAAGCATCCTGATTTATGCTAGAGATCCTTTCACAGGATACAGCAGTCACTTTCTCTCCCCCCAGGCTGTCAGGAGACCCAGAGACAGTCCTGGAGAACAGAGACTGTGCTTCCTTCTCAGCTAGAACCCTCATTACCCAGAAATACTTATACATGAGCTATGGAAACACACATCACTTTAATTTTAACTTCAAAATGACCACAGCTACCTGACCCTACTTTTGGAATTTTAGGCACATTTATTCACCCATCAGAAATATTTTCTATGACTCTGGGTAGGCAAGACAGCTGAGAGGTAGACATTCTCAGATGCTGTTAATGGTACCTCAGAATACAATCACAGGGCCGATGAGACAGCTCAGCAGACTAAAGTGCCTAAGCTTAGGCAAGCCCAGGGACTGAGGTTCAATCCCCTGCACCACATGTCCCACCAGCCCCGCCCTCAGGACGCATGCCAGTAATCCCAGCCTGGGGAGGCTGAAAGCAGGAGGATCACCACAAGTCCAAGCTATGTAGTGAGACCTTGCAACAACCAAATGCATAAAAAAGAAAGAAAAAGTATATAACCACAGTGGAAGACAGGTTGATAGTACATGATGGAGTTACACTATACACTCCATTGATCCAGCAACCTGGTATACTTATATTGGTTTATTATAAGTATTCACATGTGAAATGAAATTCTTGCAAGCTTGCTTCTTGCAGCATGGTGTGTCACAGCCAAATGTGACACAAAACCTAAATAAATGTTCACCAACAGGTGCCATGCTAAATAAACTATGGTACAGCCACATGATGCAATACCTCATTGTTGTAAAAACGAAGAGGAAAATTGTATGTAATGATGGGAAAGTTTTTAAAAGATACAGTGCTAAATGGATTTTGAAAATTGGAAGGGGACCAAGAGAGAAGTGGGAAGGAAATGAAGGTAAGGAGACGTAAAAAGAATTAAGCTGTATCGTGTATACATATCCAACTACCCCATAATGAATGCAATCATTATACATTGCAAGCATGTTCTGTGCTAATAAAAAATCTTAATTTAAAATACAGAAGGCAAAATACTGCATTCTTTAAAATAAGTACCTATATAGAGATACATATAAATAGATACATATACATATACATGGCATTGGTACCTCTGGTTACCTCAGAGTGAGAGAACTGTGTGGCTGAGGACAGGTGTCAAAGACAGACTTTACTTATGTTTTTGGAGCTTCTGTTTTATAAAGCACATAAAATACCTTCAAATTAATCTATTAAGGTAAGAAAATAATTTTGCTCAGAGCTTCTGAGTTGGTATCCCACCCCAGCAGCAGCTCCAGTTAAGCAATTTTCAGTCTTCTCAGTGGGGACACTGAGAACAAGCCTGGAAAGACAGAGGCACAGGATCCTGCACACCCACCCCCAGACCACCATTTCTAGGCCTGAGCTACTGGAGCATCTGAAGCATCTGCTGAGATTCTAGTAACCAGACCTGCCCAAAGGCATACACAGCACTACATGGCAAACACTGTCATTCTAAGGACTGCCAGCCACCACTGACCACCCTGGCAGAGCAGCTGAGCATTTCAGCGAGGAGACCACATACATACCTTGTCCTTCCTTCCGAGTCAGTCTAGACTAGCCTAGGTATCTTGAACACCACTGTATTGCAGATACTTTTAATTCCTACTCCTCTAGACCCATATACCACTTATACACACCCACTATATTATTAAGTGTTCACTACCTGAATGGGTGCTCATCATGCGGACAGCCTTGGCCTTGGCCAGCTCCAGGGCAGTGATCCACTGTTGCCGGTCCACCTCTGAACTGCCCTTGAGGTGGTAATTCCTTGCCCCACTGGTCAGCAAGATACCACAAGAGTCTTCCATACCAATGTGCACAGTGGCCAGGTTGATGGTTCCACGGCAGGTGTGGGCCATTTCACCCTGGTTTCTGTCAGATAAAAGAGAAGGGTAAACTTTCAGGTTCAATAGATTCACATTAAAGAAATCCTCAAGGAAATTCTCAGAATTTCGTATCTAAGGGCTGGGGAGATGGCTCAGTAGAATAAGCGCTTGCCTGGCAAGCA